TTTTTTTTTTTTGAGACAGGGTCTTACTATGTAGTTGAGTCTGACCTCGAACTCACTATGTAGCCCAGGCTGGTCTCGAACTTACAGATCCTTCTGCCTCAGCTTCCCAAGTGCTGGGATTACAGGCGTGCACCACCACTCCCAGCTTATCGTGCATATTTATTGGTACATTTTAGACATACATAGTGATAACATTCATTTTAGGGAATTTGTACCAACATGATATATTTTGGTGCTTATATTTCCCCATTTCCCCCTTAAGCACAAAAGCTTTGTTTCCATTTTTTCCTTTTTTTTTGGTTTTTTGTGACAGGGTCTTGCTACGTAGTTCGGGCTAGCCTCTGAACTCATGGCAATCCTGCCTCAGCCTCCCAAGTGCTGGGATTACAGTCTAGGGGGACTCTGTGACTTCCATAGTGCTAAAAACAATAGCTGGCCATGGTGGTGCACGCCTGTAATCCCAGCACTCAGGAGGCTGAGGCAGGAGGATCACTGTGAGTTCAAGACCAACCTGGGCTACATAGTTCCAGGTCAGTCTCAACTACATAGTGAGACCCTATCTCAAAAAAACAACATAGTGCTATAAACAAACAGTTCATGGCATGAATAAACATTTTAAATGCATTGTTGTCTTTTGATGGGGCTGAGGGGGTCAGACCCAGGACCTTTGTATATGCTAAAGTAGATGGCAACGCTACCACCAAGTTTGATCTCCAGCCCCCACCGCCTGCCTCACAAGTGCAAGGTTCCAAGTTCAATCCGGGATACCAAAAAATTTTGAGAAATCATTTGGCAAAGGAGTGAGCTGAGGCCTGTAGAAGCAGGAGTTTCAACATCAGTCTCCTGCCTTGGAATCTAGAGTTTGTGGGGCTTGCCTGCCTTGGAGATGGTTTTGTGCTCCATGATACCCAAAGTGCACAACGTGGAATAGGACTTTGCTAGTTGTCTAAGATAATTTATGTAGTGATTTTCCTGTCTCCTAGGAGATTTAACTGGAATTAACACCTTAAGGAATGTGCCTATTTAAAAAGGCACACTCCTAACAGATAAAGGAAATGATTTACAATCCTGGCTATGAATACTTCGTAAAGTGAATATATGCCTCATCCCCCACACTTAGTTCAATTTTTATGTGTGTTTTGGGTTTTGTGTGCCACCTTTAGCTATTCATTTTTGTGGACATTCTAGGTTGGTTTTTTTTTTTAATGTGTTTTTCTTCTGCTTTTATATAAGGGGTATACTGGGGATTGAACTCAAGAGTCTTCATTCTGAGCCACACTCCAAAACCTCCCCTTTTTCATTTTTTATTTTTTCAGTTTTTAGAGGGTTTTACTCTAGTTGAGAATGACCTGGAACTCACTATGTAGTCCAGGCTGGTCTCAAACTCACAGCAATCCTCCTGCCTCAGCCTCCCGAGTGCTGGGATTATAGGCATGTACCAGCACGCCCAGCTGAACCCCTTTTTTTAAAAACATTCTCATTAAGTCACTAAATTGCCCTACGTGGCAGGGAATTTGTAATCTGCCTTAGTACAAGAGTATTGGGATTCTAGGGGTGTGTCAACATACCTGGCATAGAGTTTACTCTCAGTAGGAGAGTATTGGGATTCTAGGCATGTGTCAACATGCCCAGGCCTTTTTTTATATCTTGGTTTTTGTGAATCCAATAAAAATGGGAGGGTGGATACCTCTTTAGGATAAAGGTTTCCGTGTACTTTTTTTTTTTTTTTTTGAGACTGTGTCACTAACCCAGATTGGCCTTGAACTCTCCTCAGTCCCGCCTCAGCCTCTGAAGTGCTGGGATCACAGGTGTATGCCACCATACCTGGCTGCATGTATTTTGGAATTATTCCTTAAATAGAGTTGCTGGATCCTACTATAATTACACTTTATTTTGTGGGAGGTTGACACAGGATCTAGTTATGGTCCTGAACTCCTGGGCTCAAGGGGTCCTTTGTTTTGGTCACATCTGGGAATTTTTTATTTCTCCTTCACCTGGAAGAATTTTTTGTAAGTGATCTTGCTGCAGCTTCCCG